TCATTCATTCATTCATTCACTCACTCACCCACTCATTCATTCATTCTTTCATTCATTCATTTATTTATTCATTCTTATTTATTTATTTATTCTTTCATTCATTCATTCATTCATTCATTCATTCACTCACTCACTCACTCACTCACTCATTCATTCATTCATTCATTGGTTTATTCGTTTATTCATTCATTCATTCATTCATTCATTCTTTTATTTATTTATTTATTTATTTATTTATTTAGGCGGGGGTATATTCTACCTGTCAATTAACTGGTAATTGTATAAGGCTTCGTGCTGAGGCTATCTTTGTTTAAATGTTGTTTTACATTTCTGTAGGCTCTAACATTGCTAAATAGATCTATTTATAGCTTTCACCGTGTCTCAGCATGAGTTTAAAAATCTCTTTCCTGAGATTAGTTGAAGGGTCAAAGAGGATTTTAGTCTCATTTAGCTAAACACAAAATTATTGTGACGGCATATCCCGGGGACGACTATACGACATAATAATTTAAATGAAATTGGTTGCTTTTAAGCACAAGGGGACTATCCCGAAAAATACTTTTTTTGAGAAAATCGAAGGTAAAGTTTTTGCCCCTTGTTCAGTTTCTTCAAAAGACAAGGAGAGTTTTCTCTATAACCAAACAAATATATACACCAATGAAACCAAACTTCTATAGATAGGGCAATTGCCACCTTTGGTGTAGGTCAAGATTTCTGGAAACCCCCGAAATCTAGGTTAGCCCGCTTAACCTTAAAAGTAGCCAATTATGAGTGTAATGCTTCGAATTAGTTATGGTCTTTACAGATTTCCAAAACTCGTAGTATGATATCATGCTCATGTCCAGCTAAATTATCTTTGTATTTTTTCTCGAAACGAACTCAAATTGAGTTATACCCTTAATTTTTCTGACTTTTTCAATTCTGCGTTTCTTTTTTTTTTCTTTCTTTCTCTTATGTGTCTAAGATAAGATATTATTATTATTATCAATCTCCAAAGACTCTGAGAGGATCTCTGGATTATAGTATGGTTGTTTTGAATTCTGTGCTAGCCTTCCTGTGGTGCACCTTACTCACATTTGCTGGTTAGAAAGTTGCTTAATATTTTGTCTTTTCAACAAACTTTCGTGTTGCTTTATTTATTTTTTTCGATATATATTATGAGCTCATTTTTAGTGTGCACTGGTATTGATAACGTAGGCTTGCCTGGTTATTCTGTCTCCACAGATAAAGTAATGAGAGACAGATCGGGGAATCTCACAATGTTTTCATTTATTTTTCACTAGTATAAGAAAACTCACAAGTACCCCTCAGAAAAAAACTATCTTGAGTAAAAAGGACAGTACACATAGAGACGTGAGCCTCGCGAGAATGCCAACAAAATGCATAAAACACATGAATTTTTGTAAATCGTTAATGGCAAACAAGCGAATGTACTTTCTCCTACAAACAACACAGTAGTATTCTGCCGTGCCAAGGCAGACCGATGTATCAGCAAAAACAGTATTAATTTTTGCATCTTCGTTAAAATGGACGCCTATACCCACTCTGCATCTTGCGTCTAAGGCTGAAAGACGTATCTGCACTACAAGCAGGATATTTCACCCTGGCAAACAGACGTAACTGAAGGTCCATGCCCATATTTCCTATGGCAGCGCTACGTAGATCTAACTAAAAATCATAAAAAGTGGAAATGCGTCGCTCTGCCTTGGCACGGCAGTATTAAACCTGTTTCCAGCTCCTATCTGCACTTAGCAGTACAAGCTACTTGACTACGTGTATAA